TTAACAGAGGGGTGAGGTCAAAACTGTTGGTGGGGGTCACACATGAAAAGACAATCTGGTTTCCAGACTAAAGTGAGCCACCTGCCAGTCCAAACTCTCACTGAAAGGGAGGACGGTAACAAAGTCTCGTCTGACACTGAAACACTCTCCAAGATATTCTGTGCAGAGGTAATCACAGAGGTTATAAACTCAATTTACAATGTAACCACTTATCACAGATTATTACCCTGGCCTTGGAACTACACGCTCATTCAAATATTGTTGTAATCTTAAACTGAGAATGATCAGTTTAAGATTAGGAAATTCCTCATTAGGAAATTCTCCTAATGATTTAAATTTAAAACAAAACAAAACACCAAGTTGTTGAAGCTGGCCAAGAGAGCGCGGAGCAGTGTGCCGTGGTTGTTGTTTCTCTTTTCCTCTGTTAATGAATGCAGAGGTGTTTGTCCGAGGAAGAGAGGAGAAGGGAAGCCTGATTTCCACTCCATTTTATCTGTGCCCCACAGCCCCGGCTAGTTAGCGCCCTGTGCTTTCACATGCTGGGGTCCCACAGGAAGCAGTACTCCATGATGGGCAAAGGTCAGGGAACGAGAGAAAGCCACTCCTCATTTCATCCGCCGAAACTAACTAATACACTTTGTTCTTATTTGTTTTTTGGAAGAATAAGAAAATAGGAATATTATGATGAGGAAAGTGAACTTTGCTCTAATTTAGATTTTTGTTTATGTGCTTATAGTCTTTCAGTTGCAAATGAACCAAATTACTTTCATATTTATACACACTATGCACTAGCTGAAATACTGTGATACCCTTATTTTATGTAGCATGTACAAATAGTAGACTTTGGTTTTTTTTTCTAGTATTTATCTTCTTTTTTTTTCTTTTTTGCTTTTATGTTGTGTATATGATTATTAATGTGTTTGGATGTCTCCAAAAACTACAGCAAGCCACGATGACAAATGTGCAAGTGGAAGTAAATGTTTCACACGGGTAAAACATTTACTCGTGAGAAGATGAGACACGATTTTAAAATGTCACAATAGGTTTATTGATCCATAGTAGATGAATTTAAAAAAAACCCAACAAACAAACATTGTAGATGAAAAAAATGAAAATCTGCATAATTATTTGCATAACTGTGTATTACATTGAAAAGAAAAGCAAATAAGGAACACATCTGTCCAGCAGAATCAGCTTCATAAAAACAATAGACGTGTGCTTTCTAACATTAGATGTTTTCTATATAAAGAAAGGATGAACACGAAATATAATCCTGGCTACAAAAAGCAAAGCAAAGCAAAATCACCAAAATGAAGATCAAACAATAAGTGAAGCAAAACAATATGGTTGCATAATTATTCAAAGCAAATATCCTCTGATTTCAAGTACGTCCTCTGAGACAAAATACAGATATGTCTGTATAAAATAAAGACATCTCATACATGTCCTGCATGCATGCTTATTCGCAAATTTCCATTCATTATTTGTTGCCTAGTTGCATCTATTACAATAAGTTGAGTCGTGTCCTTTATGCCCGAGATTTCTTTTTTAAACTTGATAAATCCGTGGAGTTATTTGGTAAGGAGCAAGGCGACCAGGTGGCCAACATGCCACCCCTCATACATGGAAAAGATTCAGTTCTGCAGAAAATCTACAAACTCACATTAAATACTCTGGTGAGGATGGGTTGTCGCTGGTAGACCCTGTTTCGTGGTAACAGTTTGCACCGGACAGTTTTTCACATTTAAGTTTATATGCGTCCCTCTCGCGGATCAGCCTGTTGAGTTCATGTTTCAGCTGCTCGACCTGCGACAGCAGGTTCGTCTTCTCGTGCTCCAGAATGTGTTTCTGTTGCACGCGCTTGTAGCGGCAGGACTGCGCGTAACCCCTGTTTTTCAGGGTCCGGCGTTTCTGCTTCAGACGCATCACCTCGTCCTTGCTTAGGCCTCTGAGAAGCCGATTGAGCTCTCTGACTGACATGGACACCAGCTGATCGTCTGAGAAGTGCATCTCGGCGTTGGATCGCCTGTCGTGGCGGTTGTGTTGCTGGAGATGGTGGTGCGCACCGAGGACCTGCTGGGCCTCCGGCGACTCAGGGGATGCGCACCCCATGTCATCTTTGAGATATGGGTCTTGGCAGTGGCTGTTGGGCATACCTTGCATGTCCGAGTGACCCGGAAGACCCGGGTAGTGCTGGACAGGCTCGTTTAGGTGGCCGTAGCCATCGTAATCAGCCGGGAAAGGTGGCGGATTGTGGCCGTGGGGCGCAGATGGGTGTCCCTGCTGCGCTGTGGCTCCGATGAGGGCCTCCATCGCGTCTTCGGGTGTCAGGCCAAAAGCCTGAGGGTACATTTGCTGAGGATAACCCCCGTTGTTGGGTATCCAGAACTGGCTGTTTTCGACGTTGTTTCTGTGGTCGTTAGGATTGAGATTTGGCGATGAAGGCACAGAGTTGCAAGGTGTGCTGCCAGGAGTGGAGGAGACGGAGTCTGGTCTATGGAAAGAGCGATCCAGCCCCTGCATCGTCTCCTTCTTCACGCCGAACTTCATCAAGTCATAGTCGCTGACGAAATCCATGGGTGGTTTCTGCAGTCCCAAGTGTGAATGTGCCTCAGTCGTCATGGTAAATGGAAAGCCGGTCTCTTTAAAGAGCTCCAAATGTCCACTGATATTTCATGCAGCCAGTGAAATCGCAGTCACTTGTAAAAAAAACAAAAACAAAAACAGCCCAAAAATAAAACCCGAATAATAATTTTTTTAAAAAATGAAGTATTTCCAAACTTTCGATCACAAAGGGGGAAAACACCACTCGTGAAAAATAAATCACAGCAAAAAACAGGAGAGCGCCTTTTTCAACTTTACGTTGAATTGCGACGTCGCACCGCGCAGCTTGTTTGGCTTTAGGAACTTAAAAGTCCGGTGATGCCAACAGACTGGACGCAACTCTGCCTTTTCAGGAGAAGCGCACTTTCTTCATAAAGCTGCATTGTGTGATGTCACGGCTTTCAGACTACACCTCCACCCTGCTCTCCAATGAAAAAGGGAAGATTTGCATAAAAGCTTCTACGAGCGAGTCCACACGATCTGTTCGTGATTGTCACTTGACCAAAGCCTATAAAGGTCTGCTCAGAGGCGCAAACTCCATTCTGTAGTGTCTTTTGTGTTTAATTTCTTTATTTTTATTGTTTTATCCGCCCTCTATTTCGCATATTGCCAATTCACCCCACAGGAAAAATTATGCACCAAAGTGAATTGGAGCCATGAGAACAAAAAAACAAAAACCCATAAAAACAAAACATAATCGTCTGAACGATAAGGATATGATTTCAAGGATTTTGAATAAATATACGGCAATGAATTTGTCTATTAAAAACTAATATTGGTTGTGAACTATAATAGAACCATACATTTATTTTCCATCAGTCACAATTTGCTGCAAATTGGTTTGTGGTAATTTAGGAATTTATGGTTATTTATACGTCATTATTCATTAAGAAAACAACAGGATGCTGTTAGAAAATTCATTTGACCCTACTGTGATTGCTGTGCTCCTTGGTATACCCAGGTGAATACTGATATCTTGTGGCCAACTGCCTACACTGCAGTGGCTTTCATAGGGATATGGTATATTCACTGCTTTGTTGCTTTTCCTGTTATTAGATTTAAATTGTGAAGCTCACATTTTAATGTACAAATATATATTTGTTCAGTCTTCACCGCTTATTTTTTAAGGCCAAATACATTTTAGATGCATAAAACAATGGTACTGCTACTTTAAAATATATACATATATATTTTCCATTTTAATTAACCAAACTACATCTTTAGGGAATATGACTGTATTACAGATGCAAAGCCTCATCACAAAGAAGTTCCTGAGGGATCCCACCAGAAGTCAGCAGCTCAGCAGCAGCTCTGACATAACAGATACCAGGCTAACCAGAGTTAAAGCACAAACGCACAGGATATCGAAGGGTTAAGTAATGTTCCTGCCCTGAGCTGACCCTCTCAGGCAGCGCTTACTCCAATGATAGTGAATGCTTTACTGACAAGGTAAAAAGACTCAAGCCAAAACCAATAGAAATTGCTGCCTGAGAACGGCCAGGCATTGTTTCAGCGAGTTCGACTTGCTGGGAAGAGAGGAAGAGAGGAGACAGTGTGACTGAGCAAAAATTTCTCAGGGACACATAACAGGATTCACGCCAGAAGACCGGGGTGATGCTTTGTGGTATAGCTTGTGCTAATGATAGGATGCTCACAGCCTAAGTGCACGTCACAAGCTGGCACTTCGGTTCTTTTGCCATAACAAGCATGTATCAAAACAGTCAAGTCAAAGAAAAAGCAGAATTTCTAGGCACTGCAACATCAAGTTTACACTTCAACACAATATCATAGCCCTAGAAACTCCACTTTATCTGTATCTGAGAACACATATTTTGATGCATACATTGATATTGACCTGAATCTTTAAAAACAGCTGTTTTATTTGAGATGAAGGCTAGGCTATATACCAACATACGAAGCGTGTTTTTCTAGTTTCCTGTTTTGTGAGATAACTGTAAGGTGACCTCTAAAAGAACGATGTTGCTCAAGAAACTGTAACTTATAGATGTATTTTTCAGTTTTATGTTACCAGTATTTCAGGAATGACACACTAAAACAAAAACAACAACACAATTTGATTTCAGTTATAGAAAACACAACCTAGGTGGACACATCAAGCATCACTCAAGCAAACAGCCCCGTGTTTCTCTGAAAATAATTTAAATTCAAGTACTTCAGAATTGGAGCAGGATGTTTTACCCAAACACCCAAATGAAAAACTAATATCTGTAGCACTGAATGAAACAAAACAGAAAAAAAACAAACGTCTTTGTCATTTCTGTATACACAACATTGCTCCCACATGACAATGGGGTTCTGTGTGTTTCGGTAAACATGACGGCCATTTCTAAAAGTCAGATTCAATCATTCTTGTGTCCAGTTATAAGAAGCATGGAGCGAACGAGCAGCATTAGGTTAAAGGCCATGGCCAGGCAACACAAGGCTGAAGTCATGATCGCAGGAGAACAGCTCAGGTAAGACGAAACAGATTCGCTGACGATGTCGGCAAATTCTACTCTGCAGGTCAGGTAGATGACTGATGTCAGTTTTAAGGCTCACGGCTGATTTAAACGCCACTTTAAGGCTCAGACTTCACGATGGAAAACTGATTAAGGATCGACGCTACCACTTTCGCACCTACCCTAACTGCTTTGTGGCACACGAGCTTATAGACTGGCTTGTGAGCCACAAGGAAGCTGCAGATCGAGCAACAGCTGCCAGCCTCATGCAGCACCTCATGGACCATGACATTTTACACCACGGTAAGAAGGAAGCACCAGCAAGCGCTTCAGCTAAAGAAGCTCTCCCTTCTTTAGCTGAAATTAATTCCTCTTCTTTACCTGAAGCTAAGTCCTCATGTTGCTTTCACGACTTATATTTAAAACTGCCTTTCTCTCAGTCTGTGACAAGAGGGCAGAATTCAAGGATGCCAAACTGCTGTACCGTTTCCGCAAGGATGATGGCACATTTCCCTTTAACACAGAGGTGAAAATCTTCATGCGAGGACAACAACTATATGAGCAGTAAGAGCTGGTCTGTTTGTGCTTCAAGTTTTCTGGTCTGAGACAGATCAGCTTAATCTTAGAATTGAAAGACCTCAATAAAGGTGTATCTCATCCAGGTTTTTCCTCCACTGCATGCTATTTTAAATCTGATTCTGTTTTGTTTTCTCTTATAGACTTATAGCAGACAAGAACTCCATTCTGCAGCTGAGAGAGGAGCATGGTGTTACTTATAAGCGCTCCTTTCCTGGCTGCCAGTTGATTGACTATCTCATTCAGAATGGAGAGGCAGATAGCCGGCGACAGGGACTGGAGTTGTGCCGTGCATTGCAGGAGCATGGCATCATTCAGCACGGTGAGGGGAGTTTTCATTTGCCCTTTGATGTACAGCTGTCAGTGGTGGGCTTGCCATCTGGGACTCTTGCAATCAAAAGTAAAAATACACACTGCATAGATACCATTTATACTAAGACTGCTGCTTTTTGCTCTCTCCCCAACTCCCGCAGTGGGACAAAAGCATGATTTCTTTGACAGTGGGCTACTCTACCAGTTCTGCATCAATTTCCGCCGGCGTTGGCGCCTGTCTGAGCTGTTAACTGAAAATGAGCAGGTTAATGATGAAGCTGTGATGGCATCAACACAAGAGGACAACAATTCTGAGAGTCCCTTTCTTCTACGCAGAAACTCATCCAAGGAATGCAACCGTGCATTCAGTGGTAATAAATTAATTAATTACTGAGTAAACATGAAATAAAAGGAAACTCTTGCAATTTTCACAACATGCACCTTGTTTTTTTTTTTATGAATTCTGACATCGCCACTAATATCTAATAGTGAGCTCAAACAAAGACTCCAAACAGATTACCGGTGTTCGTCGAAGTAGCTTGAGTTCCCTTCAGTTTCACTCTGCTGGATTTCCACCTCTTCAGCTGTTGTCACACTCAGCAGTACGATGCAATCCTAAATCAGGCGAGTGTTTTGTTATTTATATTCAACTGTTAAATGTTTCATAGTATCATCAAAGTTTAAATATTACTGTAATGAGGCTTGTTTGTGAAAGCACATAGACATAATCTTTTAATTGGTTTCACAGTCCTTAAAAGAAAAGTTACTTGTGAAGAATTATTGGAACCTGCTGCACCCTTTATCAAGAAAGTGTTGACGGTGAGTTATGAAAATTATATGTATAAATTATTACTTAGATTTCTGATTGGATTTAATAGCACCAATTTAGCATACCTGAGCAACATTCCCCTAAAGGCTAAAAGTCAAAAAGTCAAAACAAGCTTAACACATTAATAAAGTTGTGTTTTTCTTCTTCTTCTTAGATTAAAGTCTAAGGTGTATTTTATCTGATTGAGATTGCAGGTGATAGGAGACGCCCTGGGCTGGGGCTTTGTTGTCAGAGGCATGGCTCCTTGTTATATGCAGGCTGTTGACCCTGGAAGCCCTGCAGCAGCTGCTGGAGTTAAGGTTAAATAGCTGAAACAAACTGAAAAAGATACTTATCTTGGATCCATAACTTTAAAAAAAAAATATATATATATATATTTTATGTATTTATTTATTTATTTTTAGGTGCGGCAGTTTGTGTGCCAGGTAAATGGACAGTGTGTTCTTTACCTGGACTACAGGACAGTAACCAGACTGGTGATGACAGGACCTCGCACTGTTGTACTGGAAGTTATGGAACCACTGGAATGACAGTAGCTATATTATCAAAGTCTGGCTCTCTCTTTGAATAGAAATACTGCATCTGCAAAAAAATATAAAATAATAATAATTAAAAAAATCAGCAATTACGTTTGATATGTGCTCATTTTGGGGGGAACTTAAAAAATGCACTTGTTAAACTGTTTATCTGACTTGCATCATGGAAAGTGTTCTAAACTGCCTAGATTGTTTTCATGAATTTGAGGGGGGAAATCGGCACAATCAGGTCAGTCAATCCAGCCCAGCGACTACGACTTCCGTCTTTTTGTAGTCGCCATTTTGGTTTGAGAGTTGATCAACGCGTTAGCCAGCAAGCTGGCCTGACCTCCGGTGCAAGAAAATCTGAGAACTGGAGGAGTATAGGTGGCCCTGGAGGTTCCCATTTTCGAAGTGTACTATTTTCATGAGCTGTGCACAATTCTACCGCTGTGTTTTGTCACTCGTCCCCCAGCTAGCAGCTCTGCGGTGCAGATGAACGAGCTAACTAGATAGCTTGGCTAGCTAACTGTGGAGCTGCTGAGCACCGGCGTTGAGGGGAGCATCACCGCCAATCTGCATGTCCCGCCAGCCCCTCTGTTTTTTATTTTAGCCATTAATGTCGTGAGATAACCCCTGTAAAGTTACTCTTCTGGCTTATTGCAAGGTGAGTAAAACTTTAAATATAGTCAATGAAAGTGGAAAGAAAGCAGCTATGCAACGCTAGTGTTTGTGCTCAGTAGGCATTGCTAAATCTGGCTAACACTGTAACGCTAGCCCACAAAGCTAACACGTATTGTAAAACTGTAATTCCCGAAAGCTCTGTGCATGGTGAACAATAGAAGCCGTGGACCTGTTCTGTTGTTAGGCTTTCTGATCAAACCCACCACTCAATCAGAAACAAGGTTGTAGTGAAGCGTCACCATAGAAACAGTGCCGGACCCCTGAAGCTCTGAAACACACAATGCCATCATAATAAACACGCTGTACTAGAGGGAGACACGTGCTGAAAGGGCGTGTTGTCTCTTAGTGAGTCCGGATAATGTGATACAGGTTATAAATGTAACTGAGGTTATAATGAAGAATTCATATCTGTCTGCCAGGAGATAATGTATCAGCTCCCGGTGAACAATCTTACAAGAATCAGGAGAGCCAGGAAACAAGTGAAAAAAGCACTCGGTGACATTGGACTTGAGTTCTGCAAGGAGGCAGCAGAGGTGAGCAAGTGTGTTTTGAGCTGCATGTGATGGATAAGAACTTTGAATAACATAAAGGTAGCATTGATGGACCAAAGACCACTCACTTGCCCAAAGATGGTTTTCAGTAAGGTGTAAGTGTGTTTGTTTTAAACCAACGTGACGATTTTAAGGCAGTTTTGATTGGCACCTAATCATCGGTGGACGTAATAAGGATAACAAATTTGTTCTCTCTCTCTCTATACATATATGTGTGTGTGTGTGTGTGTCTTTAGAAACAGCCTCATCAAGCTTTAAAATGACAGACTCCAAAGGTGTGGATACATTTCCACAGCTTTGCCTAGTGTAGTTTGCAGAGAATGAATTTGCAGTCTAATCCCTAACCTCTTTGTGTTTGCCTTTCACAAATACACTCACTAGTGCTCTGGCTTGACAAAGGGAAATTCAGTACCAGTCCCCATAAGAATAAAGGGGGGGGGGAAAAAATCAGAAACATATTACCCTTTATCAAACCCAAACAAAAAAGGGGGATTAGAGGGGACGCATACAAATTTAAAACCAAGACTTGCATATACAAATACTATACAGACATGGTAACAATGTTAAAAACTTATTTCCATTGGAGTTGGTCTTTAATATTTTAAATTTTTTTGCAGGAGTTCAAAGAGTTTTGCCCTAATGAGCAGTTTGTGAAGGGCACGCTTTGCCTTGATATCTGCGCCTGGGATCCATCATACTCTAAAACACAGGTAAGATTTTATCCTATCTGAAAGACTTGCTCACATTATCATGCACTAATGTGCATATTTTTCTTAATGCAAAGTTTTTGTTGTTGTTTTTTTTTTTTTTTTGATCATTTTTTTTACATTTTTTTTTTTAGGAATACAGATCAAAGCCATTTTGCTGCACAGAGTGTCCATTTTCTTCCAAATTCTACTCAGGCTACAAGAATCACTTCCGTAATGTGCACAGGAAACTCTTGGACAGTAAAATCCTGCTCAACTGTCCATACTGCACGTTTACTGCAAGCAAGAGAACTTTGGAGACGCATGTTAAAATATTCCACATACCCAATTCAACTCGGCACAATTATGGAAGCTCACAGGGAGCTGCGCTGGGGAAAGCTTATCTTGATAGATACAAACAGGGAAACGGTGTGGAGAAAGCAATGTATTTCTGCAAAAAATGCACATTTCGGGACACGCTATACAATGTGGTGAGAAGGCACATCTACAGGGAACATTTTCAGCATATTGTCTCACCATATCTTGGTATGGTTTCTGAGTCATCTGTGAAAAATGGTGCTAGTTCTGTTGTTGGCAACAACATCCTCTGTAAAAGATGCCAGTTTACCACTCGTACCTATGAGGCTCTGGTCCAGCATGTTATTGAGTACCATGAGCGCATTGGTGCCCAAGTAACAACCATGATTGGACATGCTAACATTATCGTCTCCAAGCCTCAGTCTTTACCAGTCATGTCACAGAAGCCTCCTCTAGTTGTCAGTAGACCTCAAACACTTAGACCTGAACCAAATGCACAGCAAGTAATTGGCTATTTAAAGCCAGTAGGCCCGGTTATTAAAAGTCAGTCTCCCATTATAGGCAGTCAGGTGCGTGCCACTGTTCCAGTACAGAGGAACAGTACAGCAGTTGAAAATGCTGGTACTGGTGTAAACACAGCCCAAACACAGAAGTGGAAGATATGTACAGTTTGCAATGAGCTTTTTCCTGAAAACTTATACAGTGCTCATTTTGAGAATGCACACAAGGCGAAAAAAGTGTGGGCGCTTGCCAAGTACATCATGAAAATCCACAACTTTACCAGCAAATGTTTGCTTTGTAACCGCTACCTGCCCAGTGATACACTGCTAAATCACATGCTAATCCATGGCTTAACCTGTCCACAGTGTCACTCTGCTTTCCACAATGTTGAGAAAATTATGGAGCATACAGCTCAGGCACACCCTGAGGAGTTTATTGGACCCCCTGGTGCATCGCCTCTAACCTTTGACCTCACCATTAAACAAGAGAAGTCCAGTAATGTACAGCTTGCTGTTCTTACTTTTAACATGAAGGAACCCATCAATGGTCAAGATCAGTCGACGCCTGTTCAGAATAGTCTTCCACATCTTGTCAAACTACCTGATCCTAGAGGGACCGATAAGAAAAGTGAACATCTTGCAGGAAGTATCCCTTCACTAATGCAAACAAGTGAGATTGGGAAGACTGTGTGTCCGCTGTGTTTCACCATTCTCAAAGGGCCTATCTCCGATGCTTTGGCCATGCATCTGAGAGAACGGCATCAAGTCCTTCAAACAATACATCCAGTTGAGAAAAAGATGACGTACAAGTGCATTCATTGCTTAGGGGTGTACACCAGCAACATGGTGGCTTCCACAATTACGTTGCATCTTGTGCAGTGCAGGGCTGTTGGTAGGAACCAAGCAACCCAAAACTTTAAACCTGGCTTGACACTTAACTCCTCTGGGGCTGGCTATCTTAAGAGGCAGCCATCAACACAGGCTATGTCTAACTCCAAGAGGATAAAGCTGGCCAAGGATGCTAAGACGACTTCCACCATCTTTGGAAAGAAGGCTGAATCTGATGGGCTTGCTCTGGATCCTAGAAGCTATGAACACAAGACTTATGAGGCCAGGAAAAATTTCCTGACTGCCTACTTCAACCGGCGACCGTACCTTTCTTCTTCTGAAGAGGACAAGCTGTCGGCGAGTCTGTGGCTGTGGAAATCCGACATCGCTACACACTTTGCAACCAAGCAAAGCACGTGCGTGAGAAACTGCAAGACCAAGAAGGTGTCGGTGCTGCTCGGCTTTGACATGCAAGCTCTAAAGAAAGTTAAGCATAACTTGAATTTTGAGGAAAGCAAAATTGTTGGTACCTCTGCTAAGAAGGCCGTAGGCATCAGTTGTCGTACTCCAAAGACGGACCAAAACAAACACAGTGAGACACTAAATTGTACCTTAAAACTTAGTACGTGCACAGAGACTATTTCCATAGACTCTGACAGTGAAACAAACACAGATGACAGACCCACTGAGAATGGAGATATCGATGTAAATGCGCACGAGAGTTTCCAATCCAAGGAACCATTAAACATGACTGAAGAAACAAAACCTGCAGATAATGCTTCTAGAGAGACGGAGGTTTCTTTGCAAGATGGGAATGCAAGCCTTGCAGTGTGCCTTGGTTGAGTAGTAAAGGGGTGTATTAAAACAAAGATGACTCAACAGTTACAAATAGTAGACCAGAATGTGTGGGTCACTAAATCAGCAGCTGATTTTTTTTTTTCTGAACAGTGTTGAAACGAAATAAACAGCATTATGTAGGTAGTGTTGTGTATATATTTTTAGCCATTGCTCCTTGTTAGTTTCTTCATGCACATCTGTATCACTCACTGGTTTGCTGTCACACCATATAAGAAATATGTAAACTGAACTATTTGCATATTTTTCCCCCAACTGTGACAAAGAACTGCACCATACTGTTTAACATTTAGAAAATGTAGGATATGTTAATTCCTTATGGACACATTTTAATAAAGGTGTTTGATTAATAAGAAAGTTTATTGCCGCTCTTTCTGTGCTATTAAGCTTTTGGACCAGGTGAAATTAGCTGCTTAAAGGTATTTCTGCAGAAAATGTTGTTTTTTTTTTAACTTAATAACAGTTTCTAAGAGTGAGAGCACAGGTATGTATATAAATGTAAATTTAAGGCATTTTGGGCAACCAGAAGTCGCACTTTCTCTTCCATGATAGCGTTAGGGCGTTAGGGCATACTGTTTTTTTCTAACATGACACATTTGTTTATAAGTTGCCCAGTGCTCCAAAATGAGAAGACTTTACAATAAGAGGCCCCTATTCATTAAACACGAACATTTAACTCACCAGGTAAAGTGCCACTCCGTATAATTTACTGAGTGTCAGTGTCACAACAGATGCAGCTGCATGTTTTTAAATGAAATTTCAGCGACTTCCTAATTTCCGGAATGTCTCCTTATTTGATTGGTCGCTTTGTATGAGTGGGTGGGACTCCTGGATTCTGCTACCGTACAACTGTCCAACCGCCAGCGTGCATCGCTACCCAGGCCACAAAGTGTGACGCTTCAGAAAGGTGCGTTTATCTGGAGTATTCGCAGCAGTAGTTTTTAAAACTTCATAGCTGCTTTCTCAAACGGAGAACAAGGTTTTGGCAGCTCTAGGTATAATGGTGAGTGGAGGCGCCGCATGTTCACGGCTTAAATAGAATTTTTAGTTGTTTATTGATTTAGTTTTTTTCTAATTTTGCTGCGTTTCATGCGGAGTGTGTGGCAGCTGGTTAGCACGTGAAGCTAAAACTGGTAGAATCCAAGCGTGCGACTTCCTAGCTGGAGCTGTCAACGATGGTTAGCTGGCATTCAGAGGCTCTGGTATAGAAGTAATGCTGGTGAACAGTTCAGGGCTAAGCTTGAAAAACTACTAGTTAGCTGCGGTTAGCTCGCATAAAACGTTATTTTCCAAATTTCTGCCACAGTTGCAGTCCTCATACATAACTTTACCTTTATTACAATTGGTGAAGAGTAAAGACTATGATCAATAGAGATGGATGCTAAAACACAGTTGCACGAGTTGCTAAATTTTTAAAAGAATGAAGCTAACTGCAATATCCGTCTGTGCTTCCAGGTGACCACTCCAAGTGAAGCCTAATGTGCCAGATGATACACTGGTATGACTGGCAGGAGAGATCGTGGCATTTGATTAGCCTGGCCCTGCAGAGGAGGTCCAGAGTGGAGATGCAGTGCAGGAACCGAGAGCTGGTGGAGTTCTTTATAAGCTATAAACTGTCTCAGAAGAATCACCCAACTTCCCTTCTGAGGCCAACCAATGTGGGCCAAAGGACTGAGAGAGACCTGGCCAAATCCCTGCCTGCGTACGATGGCATAGAGGCTTTAAAATCAGCTCTTCTAGACTCAGGAGAGCAGTTTGGTTTTCTGTTCACACAGTCTTTTAGGGACGTTGCTTCGCACCTCAACATCACGCCAGACACAGCCCAGCAATGCTTCGAGAGTGTGATGGATGAGTTGTTCAGGGATGGAATCAATTGGGGGCGTATAATTGGTCTGTTTGTCTTTGGTTCTGCAATGTGTCTGGACTGTATTGACAGCAATATGGGTGAGCTGGTACCCGACATTGCAGACTGGATGACTGCGTATCTAGATGATCACATTAGTCTGTGGATCCAACGAAATGGAGGATGGGTAAGTTGACATGAGGTGTGCAACTTTTGTGCTTTTAAAGGGAGGGAAAAAGTCATTTAAAACACTGTCTAATCTTTTTTTTTTCCAGGACCGCTTTACAGAGATATTTGGGAAAGGGATGTCTACTAGGAGCTCTGGGGAGTCTCTGAAGAGATGGCTGTTTGTTGGAGTGGCATTAGTAACAGGGCTGCTGGTTGGCATGCTCATGACAGATTAACAGTGAAGGTGCTACTTCTCTGCCGTCACTGAACACCCTGTGGAATGCTAAACCGAGGGAGGGAAGCGGTTAATGTTTACATGGAAGCCCAGTCCACATGTGCAGTGACCATAGTGGGTGGGCAAAGTCATTCTGTGAGAAGCTTCATAATGTGTAACTTGGTGAGCTGTTGCAGACCACCTGCTCGCCTTGCTTTGACCAATGTGTTTTTATTTTATTTTTAAACGCACAACAGTTTAGTAGCTGATTTGCCTGTTCACATTAAATGAACCTAATTAAAAAGGCAGTGAAAGTGATTCAGCTAGTCTAAGCTCTCTCTCTCTTTTTATCCTGTATTATTCAGGGAACAATGTGTATGACTGAGACTATGTTGTATTCCCCCCTTTAATGTGTAATTCTCAGTTTCTTTTGACTGTTCTTGAGTTTTTAAGTCTGTTTTGAAAGGTTTTGCTGAGTAAACTGTATGGAGTGCAGAGGCTATCCAAAAAAATCAAATCTATGCTCTAGCAGAGGCCTGTGAGTTCTCTTCCTCCTACAGTCCAGAGACATGCATGTGAAATTGACTTTTTCCATCTCTCGCTAGTATCTAAAATTATCCATGTGCAACAGGCTACATATCCATGATTGTATTCAGTGTTTTTTTTTGTTTTGTTTTTTGGCTGTTCCTCTAAGGGATCAGATTGGATCATCTGCTGCCATTTTGCCCTACTCTTAGCACAGTCTTGTCACATCAACCCCATGCAAGCCCCCTTCACTACATCTGTGGTCTGCCTCTTTTCCTCTGCTTGGCAGCTCCATATTAACCATACGTTGTTCACCAAGTCCACTAACTGAGCTGTCACTGTGACATTAACTTCTCCAGCTCTGCCACTTTCACCTTGTTCTTGTTCTCGTGTCAGTGCCACCGTCTATAAACCATACATCGTAGCAGTGCTCGCTACTGTCTTGTAAACCTCCCCTTTCACTTGTGCTGCTATTGTTCTGCCACAAATCAAATGAAGTGACTCCATATGAAGTATCTTAAAAGCTGGAATTAAATGAGATGTATTCTTTTACACAATGTGCATTAAAATCTTCTTGAAAATATAAAATCCACATGTCTTTGTCACCATATCAACATGTACACAAAGATATATACCAAGGTCTGATATACATGCAAGGAAGATATTCTGCTAATTCTTCTGGGCAGTTATTGAGTCAGTGGGTGCTCCACACCAACTGTGCATGGAATAAAAATAGGGCAACAAGAATAAATAACAGACAAGAGGAGTTTAAACAAAACAGGAGGAAGGCACACATTAAAAAGACACATTAGAGGACGGGTTGCAAAGTGCTTGGAAGTAGTGCAATGGACTATGTCTGAGTATAGAATCCATGTGTGAGTGGCCTGAGTGATGAGGGTTATTCGGTGGGGTGTTGGGTGGAATTGCTTTACAGTCCAAATGGCCCAGGGGAAGGAGGTCTTTGTGTCCTAGTTTGAAGTGTAAAGATGTGTACAGTTTTACATCCTGCACAGCCTCGCTTAACAGCAGTGTTGCACTTTCTCCACATGGGGGTGCTAATGTACCACATATTCCAAAAGGAGCATTCTTAAAACTAAGCTGTGCTACTCTGCTTTCAGTTACAAGTAATTTCAGACATGACAGCTGTAGTGTTTGCAAGCTCTTCCATCACAGTTTTTTCCTTTTGTATTTTTCCCACAAGAAAGTCAAATAAGACACAGAGAACGTGAATTCTCCCAGTAATGGGTTTAATCTGTCTGATCACACACCACAACAAGTAGTTAAATCACCCACTTTCCACGCTAGAACAGCTTTTCACAAGATTATTCTGCGAGCTCTGGATGATATAATGATAGTACGAATGGGAAAGGAGACAAGCAGTGAGGCAGCGGGAGAGAGAAGGCTCTAACGGATGGCCTTGTGAGTGAACTGGAGAAGGCCTGTGGTTGCTAATCTATCCCCGTCATTTGTTGCCATTTCCCCAGAGCAGAGCTGACAGCTGCAGCAGATAAACAGCAGATACAGACAGTTGAGGAAAAGAGTATAAATTATGGATGTGCTTGCCAAATCATCTTATTCCTTTAAAAAGAAAAAGATCATGTCTCCCCCTCCCCCCCCGCACTTGTCTCGTGTTTGTTTTGCTCACGATAACTCCTGCAGAGGTGAGCACTGCGGATTGGTCCACTTTAGTGTGGTTTAGAGTCAACTTTGAGTAGATGCTGTAAACGGATTCAAATAGAAACCCACCCTCATCTCGCTCCGTAATTTCACAGGGCACTATCACAAATTATTCCCATAATCAAGGTCTTTGGGGAATCAGTTGGGTTATGTAATGTAACGGTTGGCTGCTAATGAATGAAGCTGCACTAGGAGGAAACACTTTTCATATTATTTTTTCTACTGTGGATTTGTTAAGCGAGTTGAACAAAAAACAAGCAAAAAACGCTTCTATTGATAAATTCTGTCAAAGACTTGGTTTATCACCAATACACCCAGTGGTGCGTGTCATGCAGCGTTATGAGTAGGTGACTTGCCCAGATGTTCACAGGGCCGTACTCGCCGAGATGAAACCAAATGCATAAAAGAAAATCTTATTTCTCCTCGAGGTCTGCAGTGAAGCGTGCACGAATCAGTGGGCGACGTGGGTGATAATTTATAGATTTGTCTCGAGGGAAGCATTCTGTGAGCGTACTCGCAGATTATGAAACATGACAGGATTCACTTGGCCCAAACATGACACACTGGTTTTGTAACCAAACTGTTCTTCTATACCCCAGCGCCTATTCACATACAGCACCCAGTTACCGGTCCTTCAGATGATTCCAGTGATATGTGTGTTTGTCTTTGACACCTAAAGAGACACTGTGGCCCTCAATGACTAACTGACAGGGAGTGTTAGAGTGGCGGTGCCAGCAGCAGGTGGATGGTTTGGGGTCTGTGGCCTCAGTGATAACTTATCAGCCACCCCCCAGTACTGAGCGAGCAACCCCAGCCCTGCTGCTCAGCATAAAAAGTACACAGACATGTATACACTAGTATTAGGCGTTTCTTACATAAATGGTAAATGGCCTGTATTTGTATAGTGCTTTTCTAGTCCCTAAGGACTCCAAAGCACTTTACACAACCAGTCATCCACCCATTCACACACTGGTGATGGCAAGCTACATTGTAGCCACAGCCACCCTGGGGCGCACTGACAGAGGCTGCCGGACACTGGCGCCACCGGGCTCTCTGACCACCACCAGTAGGCAACGGGTGAAGTGTCTTGCCCAAGGACACAACAACCGAGACTGTCCAAGCTGGGGCTCGAACCGGCGAACTCCCAACTCTTGAGCCACGATCGCCACGATAACCTGTTAAGGCAAGAGTCTGTTAAGACCCTGAATTCAAGGTGTTTCTTTGCACAGAACAATATGCATCTTGCGTTTTGTCATAAAATTGTGCCAGAGAGCTTTGCCTGTGTGTACTAATTTAACCCTAATAGGGCAATGCTGCTGGGCAATGTGTCCATTATCAAACAGCCTGCCCTGTTTGTTTTTTAAAGCCATATTCCTCTAGAAAAACAATCAAATCAGCTCCAAGTGTCTGAATATTAAAATATTAATATTATATCAACTTAAAAAAATCATTCTTTAAGTCTGTTTTAAGTAAATGCATGTACCCTTGTACTTATAAATAATTTTAGGCATTTAAATTTTAGTTTATCTGGATTTCTTTTTTTTATTTCCTGCTTCTCCACTTGCTGTAGCACAAAGGTCAGAAACTACAGAGAGGTAAGCCAAAAACGAGGCTGAGGAGTCAGTGCACCTAGATTGTTAAGTGCTTTGTGTTTGTTCAGATGACAATGCATTCAGCTGGTTAACACAATCACAGACGTTCTTACACAGCACGTCTTTGAATGCTGTCCCTCTAGGGTTTTTCAAAATAAAACATAATGGCACCTTAATATGTCACGCACTGTTAGAGCTTAAAGTGAAAAAGTAAAAGTCAAACTAGCCCTTGTTTATTAAATGTTCACAAGTCCCTCTTAATTCCTTTGTAATATATTTTTACAATTTTGTCAATCTAGCCGTGATCTCGTCTTTACTTTGTTAAAGTAAATTTGACTGGTCCATTTACTGAAGTAAGAGTTTCAATGTTGGTGAGGAAAATGTGCATGTGTGCATTTTTTTCTTCTACTTCACTAAAGGCAGAATTCACCTCACAATCTACATGTGCTCGGCTTTCTTTGGCCTACATGGGCAAAAATAAAACACGCAAAGGGCAGCGACGTCATGAAACGTATTGTTGTCTTCTGATTTCTAAACACGTTCTCTGTTGTTTGAGACCTTTGACATGAAAGTGGAAAACTGTAAAATTGAAACAAAAATCCCCTTCTGCACATTCAAACAGAGATGAGTAATGAAAAGTACAAACGTGACCTCGTGTGTCCAGTTGTGCTGTAGCTCGTCTAAATATAAAAGCAGCCATAAGTGGTGCACTTTAGTTGAATGTTTGTCACTTATGCGGAAAAGACGATTTGCATACCCGCTATGTACTATTACACTGTCAAAGTGGAGAACTGCCAGCACAAAGACACCATTATACCAGGGCAGGGGAGTACAATAACCTCCCACAGCAGGCCTTGCTGTGGTTAGCTCAGAGAGCTGAGGATTCAAATGACTTAAAACAAAAGCCTTCATAAGTCAAACAGAATAAGTCACGCATTTTTTTCTTTAGAGTTTTAATATGGTAATAAGAATTATGCAAATACAAAACAGACCCCTGAAGCACAAAACTAAGGTATAGCTTTACTTTAAGAATAATAAAAGAAGAATTGTCACACAGATACCGTAAATCAGATTTGTGTTTGTATTTACAGCTGGGAGAATTCCCTTATTAGGGTGTTTACATATGCCAAAACCTGAGTGATTTTATCGGACTTCACACAAGTGCCCAGTCAGCACAGTAACACAACATGTGGATGAAACGCAGGTAAAATACACAGGAAACTCCATTCGCATGACAGCCAACAACACATATGTACAAATAACTGGCAATACAAGGAAGCGGGCTCGTGTCTGAGTATTCACAGGTGCCCGTCCTGTTATGTCACACTAGTGTGGGCACCATGCCAGAGTTGAGGTGGTGCGTGTAGGGTAAGCTGGCAGAGGGATGGATCGGGGACGGTGTAGGCATGAGGTGAGGCGAGTGACTGTAGGTGAGGAGAGTCCCGGGGCCGAGGGAGAAGGGCCCACCGTTGTCGTCCAGGGAGGGCGGCTGAGTCACCTCCATGTACGGCTCCAACAAGGCGGCCTTCTTGCTCTTCTTGTTCTTGCTGGAGACTTTTCTGTTACGTGTTTGAATTCCATCCTTCTTCATGGTGAGAGGCCGGTTAACCTGTAGTGAGGAATGAAGGAGAATTTTTTTTAATTAATTAATTTTTTTAAAATATTTACCAGGTGTTTGTGGATTCATCTGAAATGACTGACTCACGTTATGCAGTTTAAAGTAGAGTCCGCAGGCATTACACACAGGTTCCCCGTTGGCGTTGCGTCTCCACAGCGTTGTTGTGCTTGTGTGACAGTTGGCACAGAGGGTACCTGCGCGCTTGCTGACAATCTGAGACACAGAAAAGGATATAGTCGAGCTTTTCAAACTACCCTGGTAACGACGGATTATTTGTTCGATGGTTTACAAAGGAGGCAAACGAGGCCCGTATCAGCCTGTCATACCAGTCTCTTCTTGGGTCGGATTAGAGGTCTATTTTGGCCGTTCATCTTGTGGTACAGTCCACAGGCATTGCACAGGTAGTGGCCTGTACCATCCCGGCGCCACAGAGGGGTAGCTGTGGCTCCACAGTTGACACACTCTCTGGCCTCTGTTCAGAGAAATAATGACAGTTTACAGAGTGTAACATATGATGGATGAATGTTTCTTAATATATTATTTCATGTGCAAAGATCTCAGTGACACATTATATAATGGGCAGACTGTTATACTCAACATAGAACAAAATGTTTTAGTTTCACAACTCTCTCTCTCTCTCTCTTGTTTTTGGAACTTGCAGATGCTCAGTTGTTGTTGAAGTACAGATGTTCGAATTTCTA